AGCGAGGGCAGGAGAAGGCAGCTCCTTTATCCCCAACGCAGATGCAGGTAAACTGAGGCCGAGGGGGAGCAGGGGTCTGGGACACTTCCCTGCTCTGTCCTGGCTGCAGGGCCTAGCCACCCACGCCCCTCCTGCCCCTTGGGCCCCAGGCCACCATGTCTGAGGTGCTCCCACTTGGCCGAGGAGGGCGAGGGAGGGTGGGAATAATGCTGTTTTTCTCACTGAGGAGCCCTGCGGAGCCCAGGGGTGGGTGGGCTGTGGAGAAGGAGGGGGTGGGCTCCAGGCTTCACACAGAATCACCTGAGCAGCCCCACGCCAGGCTGGGCGGCCCCCACCGGGGTTCAGGGTGACCCCTGGGTCTGTTGGAGGGTCAGAGGCTGGAAAGTCTGAAATTGACTTGTGCAGCCCAGCCCAGCCTCCCTGGGTGGCTCGCTCCCATCTGGGGCTCAGCTATTTCATTTCAGTCTTTGGACAGGAAATTGGGGAAAAATTGTTATATTTCTTGCAGCCCCGAAGGCCTCAAAAGCAGTCAGGAGCGTGGAGGGAACAGGGAGACGATCTTAGTTTGTTTTAAATCTGAGATTTTTCCTTTCAGACACCTGGGGTCCAGAAGAGTCCTTGGCTGCCTAACTCCACCAGCAGAGCCGTCCTCAGTAGGGGGCTCCCTTGCTGTCATCCCTTCTGCCCACATCTTACGAGTCACTTACCCCAATGAATGAGTAATTAACGCACTGACCAATCATTCTTGTTTTGCTGGCATTCACTCGGCCATATATTCTTCCAATCACATACCCGTTTACTTGTCCCCTCATTCATTCATGCGTGGGTCCACCCGCCGATCACTCATTTCCACCCCATTTATCCATTCGACCACTTGGCCGTCCTGCCCTCCAGTCTCATTCTGCCCGGCCTCTTGGCCTCGTGTGCCTGGTTCACTTGGCACCTCTTGGGCAGGTGCCTGCTGTGTGTGCGGCACCCCGAGCCTGCCCGTGGGCACAGCCTCACCTTGTTGTCGGTACTGATGAGGAGGGGCTGGACTTTGATGCTGTCGCTGACCACGGACACGGCGGCGCTGGGGGCGAGGGCGGCGGCATTGCTGGGGGCCGTGGAGATGATGGCGTAGGCCACCCCGGCACTGCTCAGAGAAGACGTGATGGCGGCCGGCTCCGCGAGGGCCTGGGGCTGGCTGCCGGGCGCTGGCACATGGCTCACCGTGTTGTTGGCGGTGGGGAGGGCTGGGCTGGGGTTCTTGATACTGACCACGGTGGCCTTCTGGAATGTTGGGGGCTGTTTGGGTGGCCGGTCCCGGCCAGGGGTGATGGGGAGGCTGTCTGGAATCAGAGTCTTTGGCCTAACCTGGGGGGAGGGGAGATGGACAGACAGGTGGATGATCAACTCTTTTAACCATTCCCCCCCATTTTAAACCCCCCCCCCCCATGGCCCAGTCCAGAAATGAGTCATCAAGAGTGATGCTGTGAGGCGGCTCGATGCCTTCTGCCCTGCTCGAGGCCAGCCTCGTCTAGTCCATTTTTTAAAATCCTGGTCATCGCCCACTAAGTTGATATCCCAGTTCCTCACTGGGAACGACGGGTGCCGGCCCGAACGCCTCCGCAGGACGGGAGGAGACGGGCGAGGGAAGGGGCTCCGCCAGCTCCGTGCCCACCACAGCCTCAGTGCCGAGGGCCTGGGGCAGAGACCACAGGACAGACGGACAGACCCCGGGCCCGCCCTGGGCGGCTTACCTGAGGTAGCACTGCCACTCCTTGCCCAGCCAGCCTC